TCGGGTCGCACAAGAACTCCCGCATGTGGGACGTCATCCCGCTTACGCCTACGGGTGACATGTGTCAGTGCGGGAGAGGCTGCCGCATCATTTGGCATGAGAGTTATGTGCGGTTCTTCTATGACCGAGGAGGGAGGAAGTGAAGTGTGAGTGGGTGGGTTCGGGGGAGCAATTAAATTCTTTAAATAAGGAACCTCCAAACAAAATGCAAGAGGAGTCATCTTGAGGCGAAAATAAGTAAGAGTTTTGATTAGGGTTCGGGGGAGCAATTAAATTCTTTAAATAAGGAGCCTCCAAACAAAATGCTTGAGGCGAAAATAAGTAAGAGTTTTGATTATTTTTTTTCTCCTTTTTTAATTTTATTTTAAATGTCAACTGTTCATCTCCTAATAGCATAAACAAATCATTGGATATGTTTGAATTTTTTTCAATTATTACAAGTTATGACTAATTTCTAATTGTCAGAGATATGATGATTTTTTTCAGGCTATTGTTATCGCTATGTATGTGTGGCTTGACGAGTGCCTTTACACTTGGAGACAAAATGCAAAATGAAATGAATATATCTGTGATAGGGTTGGTGTAGCTCCTTTGACGGACAAAATCAAATAAAGTCGTCTTAGATGGTTCAGTTACATTAAGCGTTGACCATCTGATGAGCCGATTAAGAGAGTAGACTTATGTTAAGAAAAGCATAGGTAGACCTAGGAAGACTTGGGCTTATTGTATAAAAAATGATCTTAATTTATTAGAACTAAATGAAAATATGACACTAAATAGGACGGAATGGAGAAAAAGGATTAATGTAGCCGCCCCCACGTAGTGGGATTAAGACTTTGTTGTTGTTATTATTATTATTATCGCTATGTATTGTAATTATTGTGACTATAGCTTTTGAGTAATAAAAAACTAACATCTTTTTATAAATTTACTTAGTTGTGAGATTTTGAAAGCTTATGTTATTAGAAGGAAGTTTAAGATTCAAAATTTTTAATCATTCAAGCCAAATTCGAGTCAAACAAGTTGATTTATATTAAGACAAATCGAATAATGTCACAATATGACTTGAGCCTTGGAATTAACCAAGACAAGAACAAACGGTCAGGCGATGTAAATTAAATTTTCTATATTCGGTTACTATTTAATAAATGAAAAAGCCACTAATCGAAAAAAATTAAAACAATATATTTAAATTTATCTTGCTACCGGTTGTCCGCATTTTTTATACATGTTTTATCTTCAATCGTTCATTTTTTAATCAGTTAAATTAACTTGAAAAGTTAGTTTAAAAGTAACAGTGAGCTAAACAAACCAATGAATACCCATACCCTTAAACTACAGTAATACAAGAAAAAAAAATGAAATGTATGTCAGTTAAACTTTTAATAAATCAAACATGTTATTCCATCAATTATTATATTAATATCATTTTATATTTGTATAATCATCACAGAAGCACCGTCTAAATATGTATCATTCAAGGTACTTCAATATCAATATATTTTTTTTTCATTTACATGCTCAGGTACCTTGATGTTCTCCGAATAGTACTATTAAGTGGTGACTTCATCATATTCATTTACGCACATATAAGCATTTTATCAAAATTATTATTTATTAAAAAAATATTTCATTCTCATTTGCATATTATACAATATACTTATAAATCATTTAAATAATGTTTTACCGCATATCATTCCTAAAATATGAATAAAAATTAATTAGAATTCAAAATCCCGAGTTCGCAATAATTACAATATAAATAATGAAAGTACTAATTAATACATTTGGTCTATAAGAAGCAGAATATCACTATAGTAGAAAAACATGAGTACTTACCTCGATGATAAACGATCTACTAGCTCTTAATTTGTGTTACTTCTATCAAATTATCACCTATAAAATACTCAATTATCACTTCATTAAATTTTAATTTAATTATCAATTATTATTTTATTGCATTATTTTAAGATTTCCATACTTAAATTTAAGTCTGATTATTGTAAAATAAGAGTAAATATTATTAATTTAAAATTAAAAACTTAATTTTTCTTTAAATAATAACTATATAT